TCTCTCTCTCTCTCTCTCTCTCTCTCTCTCTCTCTCTCTCTCTCTCTGTCTGTCTCTCTCCCAGAACATGCTAAGACGGCAGGAGGAGCTGGAGAATGGGACGGCATGGTCCCTGTCATCCGAATCTTCAGATGATTCATCCAGTCCACAGCTCTCAGGGTCTGCCCGACATTCATCAACCCCTAAGCCCCTAGTGCAGCAGCCTGAGCCCCTGCCTGTCCAAGTTGCCTTCTGCAGGACTGAGACTCCCAGCTCTGGGCCTTTGGATGAGCAGGGGACCACAGCCCCATCCCTGGCCAATGGCCATGCTCCCTACAGCCGGACTCTGAGCCACATCAGTGAGGCTAGTGTGGATGCCGCCCTGGCTGAGGCTTCAGTGGAGGCTGTGGGCTCAGAAAGCCTAGCCCAGGGTCATACCCCACCTACACGCCCAGATCCCACCCACGGGGAGTACGCTAGTCATGTTCCCCTAGATGTGGGTTGTTCTGCCACAAGCCCCACCCTCAGTGCATCCAATCCTGCCTCATGTGCACATCTGGACTCAGTTCATAAGGCCATAGATTCTGGCCCTTCTCATCTGCCAGGGCCCACCCACACTACCACAAGCTCCACCTGTAGTTCCATAAGGCCTGTCAACAGTGCTCCAAACCCCACTTCCACTACTACAGGTTCTACCCATAAGCCCATGGACTCTACCCTCACCACTACAGGCCCTCTCCCCATTAGTACAGGCCCAGCCCAGATTACCACTGTCTCTACCCACACTACTCCAAGCCTCATTCATACCACTATAAGCCCCACCCATACTACCCCAAGTGCCAACCACACTATTCCAAGCTCTGCTCACCCTGTCCCAACCCTCACCGACCCTACTACCCCAAGCCCCACCCACACTACTCCAAGCCCTACAAAAAACACAAGTCCCACCCATACTACTTCAAGCCCCACTCCTGCAACCACAAACCTCACCCACAAAGCCAAGATATCAACTCACACCACTACAAGTCCTATCCGCAATGCCATGGGCCCAGTCCAGACCACTACAAATGTAAGCCTTTTCTCTCCTCAAGACCTTCCTATACACCCTAGTCCCTCTGCAGGCCCCAGCCTCCCAGGCACAGACCCCCTACCCTGTAGCCATGCAGCCTCCCCTCCCTGTTCTCAGGCAAACCCCATAACCCCCAGCACATTGTACCCAAGTCCTGTCCCAGATCCCCTAGATCCTATTATTCAGAACCTAAGCCCTCCTCCCTCACCCTTAGTCCCTGAACCCGAGCATTCAGAACCTAGCCCGGCTATAGCTGCTCAAGTTTCAGTCACAGGGGCAGCTGGAGGGGCTGGGGACAAGAGGCTGGAGGATGCCCTGGGGGCCTTAATGGGTGCCCTGGATGACTACCGGGGCCAGTTCCCTGAGCTGCAAGGCCTGGAGCAGGAGGTGACTCGCCTGGAGAGCCTGCTTATGGTGAGAAAAGTTAGGCTGGCCTGGGGCAGCACAGGGAAGGGGCCAAGTGGTAGGAGTAGCTCTGACCTCCTTTATAACCTCAGCAGAGACAAGGCCTGACTCGAAGCCGGGCCTCCAGTCTCAGCATCACTGTGGAGCATGCCCTGGAGAGCTTCAGCTTCCTCAATGAAGATGAAGATGAAGACCATGATGGTCCTGGGGACAGGTGAGAAAGCTAGGCAAGACGGGCTAGGCAAGAGGAAAGAAATGAAGGAGAAAGTGATGAAGGTAGAAGAGGAACAGATGAGTTGGGAGAAAGGCAAGATGGGAACAGGTGAGGTGGGGCCAGGTGGAGCTCGTGAGGATAGATTGTGCTCACTCTTCCCATGTATACCTCATGTGTCCTGGATGCGCACATCTTCAACTCCATCTGTCCCCAGAGCTTCTGGCTGCCTTACTCCTCATCTCTGCAATGTGTACCTCCCCCACCGATCCCCAGCAACTAGTGAGCCACCTGGCCCTCTTCTTTCACATGGCCTCACCTTGGACCTACCCCGTGAAGGAGTTCTCTTAGTGCCTCCCTGTGCACCCTGCATCCCCCAGCATCGCCCCCCTCTGTCTCGACCCCAACTCCTCCGGAGACACCAGTCCCTCAGCTGTCAGTCCCAGAGTGGCCTTTGCAGATTCCCATTTGAAAGTCGTCCCCAGTCCCTTCTCCCTCTGCTGCTTCCCAGGTCAAGGCCCCATGCCTTGCACCCCTTGCAGTCCGTGTCTTGTAGACCATCCCGCTTGTGACACTACTCCCGCCCATCCAAGTCCCGGGAGCCCCTGCGGTCCTAGCTGGAGGTGGCATTGGGCAGGCTGACCAAAGACCCCCACTACTCCCTGCTGATCACATCCCCTTCACTCTCTTGAAAGTCTTCTGTGAACTCACCTATTGTCTGTTGTCTGTGCATTGTCTGTTCTTCTATTCTGGGATGGGCAGAACTTAATAAAAATAAATGCTGTGGACCAGATGGTGATGTGTGCTCTTGGGGTGGTTGACCCCATTTTTTCCCCAGGCCCCCAAGCAGCTTGGAGGGTGGGGCTGAGGAGAGCATAGACTCACTCACTGCCCACCCCCTCAGCACGGGGTGTCCAGCTCTGGATGCTGCCTTGGTCCAGCACCTGTACCACTGCAGTCGTCTCCTGCTGGTGAGGCTAATGACTCTCCCCTCCTCTCCCCTGCTGTTCTCCGTGCCCCAGGAACTGTGCACTCCAGATCTGGTCCTCTGTTCCTCTGAGTTCCACACCCCCAGTGCCCCAGAGCCCTGGCATCTGGCTCTTGGTGAATGGAATAACTGCCACAAGACTCTCCCATTGCATGCCGGGACTTGTAGTCCCAACCCCTTCCTGAGGTCTGAGCTACTTGGCCACCCTTTTTTCCAGAAACTGGGTACATTTGGGCCCTTGCGCTGTCAGGAGGCACGGGCCCTGGAGCAGCTACTTCGGGAAGCCCGAGTGTTTGAGGCAGTGTGTGAGCTCAGCAGGGTATGGGAGATCCCTGCCACTTCTGCCCAGGAAGGTAAAGGGCCCCTTGGGTTCTGGCTCTAGTGTCTGCCCCAAAGCTCCTACCTTTCCCTACCCCATTTATGTGCCTGTCTTCCCCCCACCCACCTGCTCTGTTTCTGGTGGTTTCCTGCACTCCTTCACAGTGGTGCAGTTCTCAGCCTGTAAGCCTGGGTTCCTGATCTTCTGGGACAAGTGCACAGAGGGACTCAGCCCCTTCATCTGTCCTGTGGAGCAGGTGCTCCTTACCTTCTGCACCCAGTATGGTGCCCGTCTCTCCATGCGCCAGCCAGGCTTAGCTGAGGCTGGTAAGTGAGCTGCCTACCTGCCCCTTCTGTCTTTCCTTGGCTCCCTAGTGATAGGGACCTCAGGGAAGGCCAGATCAGCCCTCACAGACATGCTAGCTGTGAGCAATAGTGAGAAAGGGTAAAGGCTTGGTCCCAGGTAAGTAGAGTATGAAAAAGGAATCCCTGGACATGAGTATGGGATTGGGTGCATTCTCTTTCTCCCAAATGCCTGGGTCCAACTCATGTGACACTGCCTCCTGCAGTTTGTGTGAAATTCGTGGAGGATGCCCTAGGGCAGAAGCTGCCCAGGAGGCCCCAGCCAGGTCCTGGGGAGCAGCTCACCGTCTTTCAGTTTTGGAGTTACGTGGAAGCCTTGGACAGCACCTCCATGGAGGCCTATGTGACTGAGACCGCTGAGGAGGGTGAGGCAGTGACTCCGAACATAAAGTGGCCTAATCTTGTGGGTGGGTCTGAGGGTGTGGATAAGGATGCTCCCTCCCTTGCTGCCTTTTTCCAACACCCTGTTCCTTCTTTCAGTGTTACTGGTACGGAATTTGAACTCTGATGACCAGGCTATTGTGCTGAAGGCCCTGAGGTTGGCACCTGAAGGACGGCTTCGAAGGGATGGGCTTCGGGCCCTGAGCTCCCTGCTTGTCCATGGCAACAACAAGGTTATGGCTGCTGTCAGCACCCAGCTCCGGAGCCTGTCGCTGGGCCCTACCTTCCGGGAGAGGGTAAGAGTGGGCACAGCTTTCTTGAGGGGAAGGTGTGAGGTCTAGGCTCCCAGTGTCTGGCTAAGTCTGTGCTTCCACCCTTGCCCAGGCCCTCCTGTGCTTCCTGGACCAGCTCGAGGATGAGGATGTACATAATCGAGTGGCTGGCTGCCTGGCCCTGGGCTGCATCAAGGTGACTCCTACCAACCTACCAGCCCTTTCTCTGCACTCCCAGCACTCCCACCCTGAGTACTTCCCATTGCTCCATTGAGCCCACTTCAGTGTTCTCTTCCCTATAGGCTCCTGAAGGCATTGAGCCCCTGGTGTATCTGTGCCAAACAGACACAGAGGCTGTGAGGGAAGCTGCCCGGCAGAGCCTGCAGCAGTGTGGTAAGGCTGGGGATGTGGGAGATGCAGGTCAAGTAGATTCTGGGACATCTTGGCTGATGGGGACAGGTGAGATAGGGTCGGGGTAGAAGGGCCAGGACGTGAGACTATGGCCACCCCTGATCCCATTTTTACCCATTACAGGAGAAGAAGGACAGTCAGCCCATCGACGACTGGAGGAGTCACTGGATGCCCTGCCCCGCATATTTGGGCCTGGCAGCATGGCCAGCACAGCGTTCTAAACTCTCCATCCGCTGGCTTCTAGGGCCCTTCCCCCACTTTCAGGGCTCACCAGGCACTGGCAGGGAGGGTGAGGGCTGGCTCCAGACACCCCTCCCCACAGATTCCTATCAATGAAAATCTAATATATTCTGTTGCCCCTGGGGTTGGTAGAGTCAGTGCCTGCAGTCAAGTGCCTCCTAGGCTCAGCTCAGCACATCCCTTGCCACAAACAGTGTCTGGGGCCTGGCCACCTTGCCTCTGCCTCACCACATCCCTGGTTTTGTATTTTATTTACAGAGTTTTACAGAAAATAAAACAAAATGCCTTTCGTATATGGCCTGCTGCACTCCTGACCCTTTGCTCTAAATCTCTCTTATGTTCCCTTCCTGACACTGGTGTGTCCATGCTTCAGTGACAAGCGCCTGTGCATCTACCCTGGAAATCCTGGTGGAAGAAAGCCCAGAGGCTGGAACTGGGCTTGGAAAGGAAAGCAGGGGAAGAGTGGGAGGTATTGCCGAAAAGACTCAGCCCAAAGCTAGGCCTGGGAACTATGGGCCCCTAGTAGATCTGACTGTGGAGCTGGCCCAGAGAAGGCCCAAAGGGTACCAGTCCTGAGAACCACTGTGGCCAAGGGGCAAAGAAGTGGGTAGGAAAACCTGGCATGGTGTGGCTGAGCTTCTGGCCACAAGGGGGCAGCAGTACCTCACCAACATGCCAGGCTTCTGGGTATTCCCTTCTGCCCAGGCAGCTTCCTACAGAGACACAGAAGGCACTCCAGGAGGTTGAGGAGAAGGGAGAGGAGATGGGGCATGGGAGGTCAGAGACCCGGACAACTGCCCTGTGACCCAGGACAGCAAGTCCCCTCCCACCCTGAATTGCCACCTCTGTAATAACAAACCTGCTGACACCTATGGCCCTACAACCAGCAGACTGTGCTGCTTCGGGAAGCAGGGATCCCAGGAGAGGGCCCTCCTCCCCCAGAGCTGCCTGGCACAGTAATTCGTTAACCCAGGAGGTTAAGAGCCTTGAGGGAGGGCTGGGGATTTAGCTCAGTGGCACCTCGCCTGCCTCACAAGCGTGAGGTCCTGAGTTCGATCCCTAGTACCAAAACAAAAAAAAAAGTCCTGAGAGTGGAACTTGTGTGTGGGGTGAGACTTGTTCCAAGGAGAGCCTGAGGGAAGCTCGTGCCCACAGCTAGAGAAATAGACCCTCATCCTTCTTCCTTCAGAATTTCCCTTATCCACCAACAAGGGACAAGAGAGGCAGTGCATGGGTGGCACCCTCCCATCCCCTAAGCCCACTCTGGTGTCCCAGTGTCTGTAATTGTAACAACAGCAGTGTAACAGCATGTGCACAGAGGTGTCACGGGGAATGTATGTGAGCCCACACTCCGGAAGACCCAAGGAGGTGCCAACAGTCACAAGGTGGAGGTAGGGATGTGACCTAGATCCCTGGGGAGCCCTACCCCCAGTGCTTTAGAACTGTATGAAGAGGTTTGTTTGGCTGGGGCCTCAACCACCTGCTGGGGAAACCACTTTGAAAAAAACGGGCAACAGGAAGGAGCACAGGAAACACCTGTGTTTGGATGCAGGTGGCTCACGGGTGGTGGCAGGCAGACGGGTGAGGGGAGGCAGATAGCACTCACACACTGGCACAGCCCTGTGCTCTTTAACTATGAAGGGTGGGACAGTGCAGTTCAGCTTTTTGGGTGGTCAGCTGGGGTGACGGGGTAGATAAGGTGATCAAGTGAGAGAGACCAAGCCAATGCCTGTAATTGGTCACAGCTTTGCCCTCTGGGCCCTTGCAGGTGGATTGCAGTTCCAGAACCACCAAGAGGCTCTCAGGCCTGAAACCCCACAAAAGGCCCGCTAAGTGAGGCAGGACTATGGGTGGTGGTGGGTGGGGAAAGAGGAAGCAAATACTGGCTGACCAGGTCCTGGGAAAGTGCAGATGGGGTGAGAGCTACCACAAGCTCATGGCTCAACCCACAGAACAGGGAAGGGTCTGGACATGAAATAGAGGATAAAAAAATCTTCCCAGCCAGGGGTCAAATGGGAATGTCACTGAAAACCTCTGGTTTCCAATGCTGGGAAGGAAAAGAATTCCTGACTGTACTCTACAAGGAGGGTCCTGAGACCTAAGCTGAGTATTCAGCTTTAGTGGAGGGTGCGTGTGAAAGTCAAGGTGGGTCCTGTGAGCACAGTAAGGTGAACTATCAGACCAGGGCAAAAGGGAATAGACCCTCAAGCCTTTGCCCTTTAAGACTTTCTGCATCAGAGCAGCATAAATCAACTCTAGGACAACCACTTGACCCCTCTCCATCTGTGACTTGTAGTCAGGCTATTTTCTCTCCTTTGCCCAGGCTCCAGTCGTGAGATAGTAGAAGATAGGGAGAACATTTGTCCTCCCACCTCCCCTGGTACCTTCAACCCCACAGGTGTCTCCCACAGGTCTTTACACAGGCGAAGCTGTCCAAAGCTCTTCCCGCCACCTCCTGCCCTGCTGTCACACAGGATGGGGAGACACTTGTTTCTCAGACTCAGAACAACTGGAAGCCTGATGCCCTGGGAGTAACGGATACCAGGGCAGAGAAAGCCTGTGCCCTGCTATCCTATGCCTGTACCTGCCTCAGTGAGGGGACAGGTGGACATGGGCCCCCAAGGCCTGTGACACACTGAGAGGTGCCCCATCACCTGAGTCCACAGCCATGCCTTGACCATCATCTTCAGGACTGACTCTCCCCAAAGGAAACTGTTATGGATGCATTGCAAAAAAAGAAAAAACAAAAAACAGAGGCCAGGCTGAGTTGATGTAGGATAGAATTTATTGTGTTGGTTGTAGGTGAAGCCTGCCTTTACGCCCCTCCTTTCCTCCTGCCCTCTTCCAACCTTATTTTTCCTCGTTTCCCACTCTTCTTCCTCATGTACTCAAAGCTGTAGAGAACCAAAAAAAGAAAGAAAAAAGGACATGTTTGTGAAGGCAAAGAAGCAGATGGGCTGGCATGTGGGAAAAGGACTGCTTCTTTGTCTCGCCCACAGAGCGGGGGTGCCTTACTTGTGTGTTTCTGTGCCTGTTGTGTGGGTACCACTTGCTGAACCCCAGGCATATGTCATGTTCCCTCCCTTCTATCCTACAGATAACCCTGGAATGTCCTGTTCAGGCCATCCATCCCCCATGGACAAAAGGCTCTTGGGCTGCTGGACCTGGGTTTTCTGGGCCTGGATGATACATGAGGGTAAGCTTGGAAAGACTCCAATGCCTCATAGAAACCAAGGAAGCACAATCTATCATTGAGAAAATAAGACTGTCATTGGCCTGCAAGAAGGGAGCCTTGTGGTCCAGGAGGCTGTGATCTCGTGAAAGCCACTAGTCTGTTTGATATCAAAGGTCAAGTCTATTGTCTCTGAACTTGCCATATACTCAAGCTATATGGACACTTGATAAATGATGACTAACAGCAGCTCAACTGCTATGGCTAACATCTATGTTTCCAGCTATCTCCTCTGAATTTCTTTATGACCTCTTCATCAGGTGTCCCTTTAAATGTTACTCCACAGGGTTCCACTTTAGGCCCTTTCTTGCTCTCTTTTTTTCTGGGGGGGGTACTGGGGATCGAACTCAGGACTTTGCACTTGTGAGGCAGGAGTGGTGCCACTGAGCTAAATCCCAGGCCCCCTTTCTTGCTCTCCTGATAGAACACACTCCTGGTACTACCTCTGGCTTCCATTTACATGTGAAGCTGGATGTCAAACATGCACATGGCTCTCACTTTTTTTTTTTTTTTTTTGAGACAGAGTCTTGCTTCATAGTTCAGGCTGGCCTTGAGCACAACATGTAGCTCAGGTTGGCCTCAAACTCATGGTGGTTCTACTGCCACAGGCTCCTGAGTACTGGGATTACAGGTGTGCCATCATGCCCAGCTTGTTTTTTTGTTTTTTAGACAATCTTGCTATATAGTTCAGGCTGGCAGTGGACTCACTATGTAGCCAAGGCTGGTCTCGAACTCATGGTGAACCTCCTGCCTCAGCCTCCCAAGTGCTGGGATTACAGGTGTGCACCACCACACTTGGTTGAACACTGAACACTTCCTTTTTAACATCAAATTCAACATGCTCAAAATCAAATTTAACATCTTCTCAAAACCTGTTTCTTCTCTAGGGCTCTTGGATCACTATCTCAGTATCCAAGCCATACAGCTGGGCAACATCCTTGACTCTTTCCTCTGCCGCCTCACCTGGTCATCAGAACCCTCTCAATTAAATGCACTAAACATTTCTAAACTTCATCTACTTCTATTTACCCCCATTGGCAGTACTCAGGTTTGGGACATGTTACCCTCTCACTTGGACATTAAAGTTGCCTTTATACAGGCTTCCAGCCTCTGGTCTTGCCTGTTTGGTCTATTCTCCATGACACAGAGTGATGACTAAAAGATAAATCTACCATCACAGGTCCTCTTTCTCTGCAGCAAAAACCCAGCCCATTTCACCTGGCTCACAAAGCTGTTTAGAGTTTATTCACCTCTCTTGCTTCATTTCTAATTTCTCACTCTATACTGGAGCCTCCCTGAACCACTGACTGGGCTCACTCACCCAGAGCTTGGTACCACTCCCGCCATAGTTGGCTGTTGCCATGCTCATGCCAGCTTAGCAGACAGCCCTTAGTCATCACACATTGTTTTAGAAGTTGGACCTGCATTTGCCCTGGTATAATAATCATACCCCATTACAACTGCCTATTTATTTATTTATTGTGACAGAGTCTTGCTATGTAGTTCAAGTTGGCCTCAATCTTGCAGCAATCCTCCTGCCTCAGCCTCCCAAATGCTAGGACTATAGAAATGTGCTACCATGCCTGCCTGGTTTTTAACATACCATGAATCCACATACCATGTAATTCAACCATATAATGTGTACAATTTAATAGCCTCTACTATACTCAGAGTTGCACAAGTTTAGACTATTTTAATTTATTTTTTACATGGCTTTTTTTTTTTTTTGGTACTGGGGATCGAACTCGGGTCTTTGCGCTTTCGAGGCAGGCACTGGAACCACTGAGCTAAATCCCCAGCCACATGGTTTCTTTTTAATGCTAATCTTTTCATCAACCACAAATTTTAGACTATTTTAACCAACCCAAAAAGATAACCCTGCACCACTTAGCTATCGTTGCCAGGGTCCACCCCCTAATCTAGGTAACTATTAATGTATTTTCTGTCTCTATAGGTTTCCCTAGTCTGGATATTTCTTGTAAATGAAATCAGGTTAGGTCTTTCCAACATACTCGGTTCTAAGATTGACTTGAGAACTTCTGTGGAGGTTTAAATTCACCAGGTCTGGCATGGGGCCAGGCAATTCTCTATTTGATCAGTCTGCATCTCCCTTATCCCCTGAAGACAAAGCCAGAAACACAGTAAGTGGTTATGACATGTCTTTTCATGAGTACCTCTAAAATTTGTCTAGCTCTGGGCTCCCTGTATCCAATTCTCCAACTCTTATCTCAAAAGCAATCCTAAGACATTTTGAGCAGGAAAGTACCATATGTTCAAATGCAGCAAAAGCCTGGAAACTCAAAACACACCCCTTACGAGCATCAATCTCTGTTAGGCCTGCAGCACAAACCTGAGTTCTGAGCGGTTACTCAGGACATACTTACAGATTAATACCTCTGCTACCTGCCTGCCCAAATTGCCTGAAATTTCCACAATAAAGCTTTTCCTTTGGGTTGAAGCAGTATTGTCCATCTTGGTTTAGGGGCAAAATCCTTTCTTCCCTTAAACAGATCACAGAAAATTTGGAGAAGTGAAGGAGGGAGGGTGTAGTTCAATGGTAGAGAATGTACTTGTCATGCATGAGGCATCCTGGGTTCAATCCTCAACAAGCATTAAAAAAAAAGTGTGGTGGGCTGGGGATGTAGCTCAGCGGCACCAAGTCTGTCTCCCAAGCCCAAGCTCCCAAGTTCAATTCCCAATACCATAAAAAAAAAAGTGTGGTGGTGCATGCCTGTAACCCCAGCACTCTGGGAGACTGAGGCAGGAGGATCGAAAGTTTGAGCCCATTCTGGGCAATTTGGGGACTACTGAGATGCCATCTCAAAACAAGCCAACAAACTAAAAAAAATGGGAGAGGTCAGGGAATAGGGAGGCCCAGAGCACACCTGAGAGACCTTTCCAAGGCAGCCTCAAAACTGAAGCATCAGCTCCTGAGGATTGCTATAAAAACAGAAATGCTAAACAAGATGTGGTGGTAGAGACCTATAATCTCAGCACTGAGTGGGTGGAAGGATTAAAGATCTGAATATTCATGTACTCAAGAAGCTGAGGAAGACCCCAAGCAAGTCATTTCATTTTTTTTTTTTTGAGACAGGAACTATATAGTCCAGGATGACCTTCAACTCACTATGTGGCACAGGCTGTCCTCAAACTTGCAGCAATCCTCCTGCCTCAGCTTCCCAAGTGCTGGGATTACAGATGTTCACCATCACGCACAGGCTCATTTTTTTGCTTGGTTTTTTTTTTTTTTTTTGGTACCGGGGATCAAACTTGAGACCTTTCATTTTCAAGGAAGGCAGAGGAACCACTGAGCTAAATCCCTGGCCAGTCATTTCTTGAATTTAGGATAAAACTGGCTTATCAAATAGAGCTATAGGGCCGGGGATTTAGCTCAGTTGTGCCGCCACCTGCCTGGAAAGTGCAAGATCCCGAGTTCAATCCCCAGTACAAAAAAAAAAAAAAAAAAAATAGAGCGGTATCATTTGAAAAGGCAGACGTGATGGTATTTTTCAAAATGAAAATGTACAGATGAGAAAGATTACTGAAGGATGATTGATGTATACTTGGAAAATACAGATAAGAGCACAGAGAACAAAATTAACCTACTTCTCAAGCATGGGATGTAGGGCTAGGTGAAGTCTTTCAAACTTCAGAGAGGAGTCACTTGAGCTGAGATCAAAGACAAATATGGCTTTCACAGGATTCTGAAAAAAGCAGGCATTAATACAGTAAGGAAAAATATTCCTGTGGTCTGGACAGGAGATAATGTGTAAGTCTTTTTAAAAATTGTTAGAGGAGGGCTGGGGATGTAGCTCAGTGGTGCCGCACCTGCCTGGCAAGCTCAAGGTACTGAGTTTGATCCCCATACTGGTGGGAGAAAAAAAAATGTTAGGAGAAACTGGCTGGTCTGACAGGCATGGTGGCGCTTGTCTGCGATCTCAGCACCCAGGAGGCTGAGAGGTTGAGGCTAGCCTGGGCTACATAGTAAATTAAAGGCCAGCCTGAACTACAAAGTCAGACCCTGTCTCATAAACAAACAAACAAACAAAAAAAATGAAAAGAAAGTGGCTGGTCTTGGGAGTTGATGTCAGTAGACACTGAAATCTTTCCAAATGTTTTATGAGGCTTAGCATTATTAACTCTACCTATAGCCCAATGATGTGGGATGACTTACTGTCCTCCAATGTTCTTGTGTACTTTTATACCCTTGATCTTGGCTCTTCACTTCAATATCTTTGTCTTATCATTAATTTTTTTTTTTTTTAAACACAGGGTCTTGCTATGTAGCCCAGACTGGCCTTGAACTCCTGGCGACCCTCCTGCCCCACCCTCCCACAGGTGTGTGCTGGCATGCCTGGCTCTCAATTCTTAGTAATACTGTACTTTAGATTAGCTGAAATGAGATAATACTGGAGAATGATTTGCTTGTTTTTCTGTAAATTCATTTCTTCCTGTTATAAAAGCTATTGAAATAATTATTTATTTTTTCTGGATTTTTTTTTTTTTTTTTTTTTTGAGATAGGGTTTTGCTATATAGTTCAGGCTGGCCTAGAACTATGTAGCCCAGGCTGGCTTGGAATTTGTGGCAAGCCTCCTGCCTCAGCCTCCTGAGTGCTGGGATTATAGGCATTTGCCACCATGCCCAGCTTATTTATTTTATTTTTTATTTTTGGGTACTGGGGATTGAACTCGGGACCTTGCGCTTGCGAGGCAGGTGGTGGAACCACTGAGCTAAATCCCCGGCCCTTTTTATTTTAAATCATCTCTAAATCTCCAGCAACTAAAATAGGCTGCTATACACAAGAGGTACTCAATAAATATTTGCTGAAGGAGGGGTAGGGATATAATGGAGAGGTAGAATGCTTTTCCTGGGTTCAATCCTCAGCTCTGCAAAAAAAATTTTTTTTGCTGAACTGGATCACTTGTCACACATCTTCAATAGGTACTGAAACAACAAGAGGGTTCATGTGTAACTTTAGGCCTTATATCAAAGTGAAGATTCTTGTCCATTGTTACCTAGAAAATCAACACAATAGCAGATTCTCTGGCTTAAAAGATTTTTAAAAGCACGCAAATGATCACCATTACAGCAAACTTTATAGGGGAAAAAAAGGGATCAGGGCCGGGGATTTAGCTCAGTGGTTCCGCCGCCTGCCTCGCAAGCGGAAGGACCCGAGTTCGATCCCTGGTACCAAAAAAACCCCAAAAAACAAAAACAAAAAACTGAAAAAAAGGGATCCTAGGAAGAACTTGGAAATAGAACTGCTCTGAGAATCACTGTACAAAGTATGTGTTTCCCAGAAAGAATGACTCCAAGGCCAGGGAAAACTTGGTCAGAAACAACTGATTCTATTAATAAATCTAGAAAGATTAAATTGCATTTAGGAGTAAGGGTGGGTAACAGGAAATATATAATGAAAGAATAACAACAGTTCATATTTATTGTATGAGTACTGGTACTTAGACCTATGCCAGGAGTTCCACTTACATTTTCCTCCATTTTATTTTATTTTTTATTTTATTGAGACAGGGTCTTGTTATGTACTTCAGGCTGGGTTTGAACTTACTATGTAATTGAGGGTGGTCTGGAACTCACAGTGATCTACCTGCCTCAGCCTCCCGAGTGCTAGGATAATAGGCGTGTGCCACCACACCCGGCTTTTGAGTTCACTATGTAGCCCAGGCTGGCCTTGAAGTCAAAGCCATCTTCCTGCCTCAGCTTCTCCGGTGCTGGGTTTACAGGCTGTGCCACCATGCCCAGATTTTTTTCTTTTTTTTGGTAGTTCTGGGGATTGAATCCAGGGCCTTCACACTGATCTACCTTTTTTTTAAAAAAAAAAAAACAAGGTCTTGGGCCAGGGATTTAGCTCAGTGGTGCTGCACCTGCCTCACAAACGCAAGGTTCTGAGTTCAATCCCCGGTACCAAAAAAAAAAAAAAGACAGGGTCTTGCTAAATCACTAAGTTACCCAGACTAGGCTTGAATTTGCTATCCCCTTGGCTCACCCTCCCAAAATGCTGGGATTACAGGGGTGCACCGCCACATCCAGCTTCCACATATTTCTTTCCAGCCTGAAATATCCTATCTTTTTGGTTTGGCTTTCCATTTCTTTCTTTTTTTGGCTTTCCATTTCTTGATCTTGGGAGTTGATTCCACAAAGGAGGACACATCAGGATTTCCTATAAAGAAAAGAAAACGTTCATTTGTTCCTTCTAGTAATTTTTATTTTCTTTAAAAAATAACCCCCCCCCCAAATAAAAAAAACAAAATCCCTAGGGCTTTTGCACTGAGGTACATCTCCAGAGCCTTGTTAGTTTTTTGAGACTGAGTCTCACTAAATTGCCTAAGGTGGGCTTGATTTGTAATCCTCTTGCCTCAGCCTCCCAGACTGGTGGGATAATAGGAGTGTGCCTCCACACCCAGCTCTTCCCTGTGACTTTCAGCATTTTCTTAGCCCTCTGTCAGAGCAGCACATAGGATCCCTGTCTTCAGAAAACAAGCTCCAAGCCACTTGGACTCCATTATTGATTTCTTCTTTTTTTTTTCTGTACCAGGGATTGAACTCCGGTCCTTGCGCTTATGCAGCAGGCGTCGAAACCACTGAGCTAAATCCCCGGCCCTGATTTCTTCTTTTTTTATTTAACGGTAGCAAAGTTTTATTAAAGGTAGGAAAACAGGCTCTGCAGAGCAAGTTTGGGCCAAGTAAAAGGAGGAAAAGAAGTACACCCTACAATGTGTATGCAAGAGCAAACACAGTGGCCCTATTATTGATTGCTCTGATGCCTCAGAGGTCATGTAGTTGTAAATATAGTTAATGTAATATATGGTTGTAAAAATAGTTGAGGTATTTTACTCTTCAAATATACTACCATGTATGTGGCTCCATTAAAGCCATAGTAGATATTCTTACAGCTTACTTTTTTTTGTTTGCTTTTTTGTTTTTATTTATTGAGATAGGGTCTCACTATGTAGCCCAGGCTGGTCTTGAACTCTCAGTGATCCTCCTGCCTCAGCCTCCCGAGTGCTAGGATTAGAGGAACACACTACCACACCTGGCTCTTGCAGCACACACTTAAAATAATATGAGGTAAAATCCTAGAGAAAGGTGAAAGAAAAAAGAAGCCAAAGATTTATTTTTATTTGAGGTGCTAGGGATTGAACAGAGACCTTTGAGCATGCTAGGGAAAGACTCTACCACTGAGACATGTCCCCAGCCCAGAAGCTAAAGGCTTCAGTGCAAATCTGCATTATTACTGTTTCTAGTATCTAAATTCCAAACTTTAGTATCCTTAGCAAAGAAAATATAAAATGCAAATATCTCAGAGGTATCTGTTTGGTAATTTTCCTCTCTAAATCTTTTCTTTATGCTCGAATCCCAAAGTGTACATAAGAGATGGGATAATTTGACTTCTAGAAAGAGGGCTCATGTGTAAATTTTTCAAATGTACACATTTCTAGAATAGCTAATCTAAGGTTAGTTACTAGGATTGGGGGTAAAGAAACTTGGATCCTGGTTTTGAGAAACCAAACTATTTTTTTCTTTGTTTGTACATAAACAGCTGAATATTGCTGGGGAAAAGCCATACACTGGGCCATCTGGTTTAACTTTAAACTTAAAATGTGCCCCTAATGCTACCAAGGCAGTCCTACTAAAGCCTTACTTTCTCTCTCCTCTGCATTTACTTTTGTCTTCACCTTTATTGGCTCTACTATCAGTAGAAGCATCCTTGTCTCTACCTGTCAATCCCTCCTATTTCCTTAGATCCTCCCATGGATTTTACTCCTCTGTAGGTCAAATGCTTCTCTCTCCTGTATCACCCACCTTTTGTCCCCACTATATCTATCACTCCCAAAGACACATAAACCCTACCATCTTAGAAACATCTCTCCTGGGCTGAGGATGTAGCTCAGTGGTAGTTCTTTCCTGACATGTGCAAGGCCTTGGGTTCCATCCCCAGCACTACAAAAAAACAAAACCAAAAAACCTCCTCCCTTGACTTCACATCCTTCTACATGCATCCCCAAATTTCTCTACATCCTTCACAGCAAAAGATGCCTACATGTGCTGTCTCTATTCCCTGTTTCCTGTTCACTTCACAACCCATTCCAGTCAACATTCCTAACTGACTCACATGAATAGGTCTAAGGTCATCAATGACATTCTCCAGGTAACCAATTCAATAGTCATGCCTCTGGCCCAAGATCACTAGAACACTCAGCAGCACAAGACAGCTGATGTCTCTCCTAGCTGTCATCTTCTCTGCCCTCAGATTCCTCAACTCAACAATTTCCTTCTGTCCTCCTGGGGGCTCCCTCTCTGCCTCCTTAATGTTGGAATGCTCCAGAACTTGGTCTTGGAATCTCTCTTCTCTTTCTTTCAAGTCAAGGGTAATAAACTGGCAGACTTCACTTGCAGTTGAATCAGCTTATTATGTTTAAAAACATCTGACTTAGGGGCCGGGGATTTAGCTCAGTGGTTCCGCCGCCTGCCTCGCAAGCGCAAGGACCCGAGTTTGATCCCCGGTACCAAAAAACAAAACAAAAAACTCCCACCTGATTTAGAGGGCTTGGGATGTGGCTCAACAGTAAAGTGCTTGCCTAGTGTGCAAGGTTCAATTTTCCAGCAAAGGGGTGGTGGTGGTGGTTCAACATCTTAAAAAGCTGAAGGTTTTACATTTTTAAAAATCCAGATTTCTGATGCCTTAGGGGAGGAAACTGTGTCAACATTGGGCCAGCATTTTAACAACAGAGAAATCCTCTGAATGGAACAGAAGCCACTTCCTTGACACTAGGTGCATTCATTATCCGCGATATCTAAAGCAAGAGAATTGGAAGTTTTCAGCCGCATTCCCTTAAGTACTAAAAGGTTCTACTCTCCAAGCCACCAACACATCGCAATCAGCTTCAATTAATTTTACAGCTGGTTAGGCAGGGTCCGCAGACACCTCGAGAGGAGGGGCTTGAAGGACTCCACCCCATAGAGAATTTAACAGCTCTCGGGAAAAGACGAGAAATCACGTTTTAAAATAACAGAATTACGCCAAGACAAATACAGAAAATCCTTTCTGCAAAAAATGACTCCCGTGATCGTGTAAAAGCATGAAGTTTAGCCTTCCTCCGGCTCTCAGGGCTGAGGCGGCATGCGGACACCCAAAGGAAGCATTCGTCCCACCCCACCCGGTTTTAGGAAGAAGCCCTGTTCTAGAGTAGAGAGATCATCGAAAAATTACTAGACAAGTACAGCTCTTCTTGCCATCGCTCTTTCGCGCCAGACTGTGTTCAAGGAATTGGGAGGGCGCTGGAACCGGCCGGGCCTTACTCTTTGGCCGGCCGAGTTTGGAGGGCGGGTCAGGCCCAGCTGGGGCGGAGACTGGGAGGAGCTGGCCCCAGGAGTCACCTCAGGTCCACGGCTGTGCTCCGCGCGACTTCCTCTTGCCACCCTTATTCCCCCGACCCTGTAAACCTGTAAGGTTTAGTGGGTCTGAGTGAGCCACTGGCAAACCCGGTCAAGGAGGACAGGATCCGAGAGCGCCAGGAGGTGGCAGCCTCCGCCCAGAAAGCCCCACCCAAAGGAAGCCCGCAAGCCAAGGCGCCGGCAGAGCCCACGCGCGATCGGGGGAGGGCGCGTGCGGCGTGACTACGCGACTCGAGGCGCGTCCCGTGACGCCATCGCGCCCGTTTTTGAAAGTTGGCGCCTGGGGCTGCCTCCCATGCTGCCCTGCGCCAACCCCTCCCCTCACCTTTCCTCCCCCGCCCTCTACTCGCCGCCCGGCCGCCCCCCCCCACCCGTTCCTTCCCTTATCAGCACCCGCGGCCCCGGCAGCGCCGACGCAGGCGCACTGCACCGCTCCGCCGCCATTTTGTGTCCGAGCCTGTGGAGCGATTAAACCGTGCGCGGAGCTGCTTCTTTGGCGGTAGCGGCGGTAGCGGTAGCCGGTGCAGGCGCGCGGAGCTAGCCGGGGACGCCGGGTGGCCGGAGCGGTGGAGCGGCGGCGGAGCGGGCGCCGCGGGGGGTGTGGCGCGGAGGTAAGGGGGCCCGGGGTGGAGGAGGTTTCGCGGGCCGCCTCTAGGTGTCACGATGGGGCCGCTCCGGTCGGCGCTGGCTGCCCGGCGCCAGCGCCGCCGCCGGGGGGTGTTTGTCTCCCTCTACCGTCCCTGCTGCGGCGCGGCCGCCGCCATTGCCCGCCGCTGTCGCGGCCCGGCTCCCCCCCTCCACGCCCGCCCTCTAGGCCTTCCTTCTGCTTGCATGCTAGGCCTCGGGCGGCAGTGGCTGCGACGATAGAGGCCCGCGCGCCCGGAGACTCCATTTTCCTTCCTTTGTCTCTGCCCTCGAGGCCGGCTCTTGGCCCGGCTGCTTACCCGGCCGCGGCCCGCCCTCTGCCCTCCGCCCCTCCCGCGGCGAGTGGCCCGGGTTGGGGCTTGATCTCCGCGCCCTGGCTTCAGCGCCTGCCTCGCTGAAGAACCCAGATCCTCTGCCACCGCGCGCCCTGCCGGTTCCCAGCGTCCTATGGGTGTCGGATCCCAGAGGACGCGTCTCGGGCTGCCTATCCTCCAGCCCGATCGGTCCCGGAACCTACCCGGCCGCCCTGTGTGCGTCCCCAGCCACTCAGCTACTCGGCGGTTGCTCCTAGTCCGCGCGTCGCCGCCGCTGGTCTCCGTCTCCGCCGAGTGGCGCAGGCGGCGCTGCTGCGGCTGCGAGCAGAGGGACCCCAGAGTTGCCGAGAGCTCCCTCTGCAAGGCTGGCTGAGCTGCTCGCGCCTCTGCGCCGCCCGAGCGGGCGGGGGGAAGCGCGCTCGCCGCCCCCGCCGGGCCTCGCTGCGCCCCTAAACACACCAGGGTTCCGCGTCCGGACCCTACTGGGGCCGGACCCCCGCGGTGAGCGGAAAAGACCTGAATTCGGCACCGTGTAATTTTTCTGTCAGGCTTAGACTCTCCCAGCTCTTTGGAGTGTGTGGTAGCAGCCTGACTTTATGTGCTCAGCGATCTCAAAGGGACTGAAACTTATTTTCACCCCGATTTCAAGTGAAGTGACAAACTCCTGAATTCGAGAGTATGGGCTGTCTACGCTGGTTCAGGCCATCCTTGAGTTTCCCTCCCACTTTAAAATGTCCCAACGCTAGCTAACTTCATACACCATTTAGTACCTGATGCTCTAGGGCTAAGGAAAGGCATTTCAGCCCCCGGGATTGTGCAATCCAATCTAAAGCGCCAGTAGGGCAGAATGAATTTATTCTTGACTCGACTGGTAATTTGCCCATACGCTGAAATGTGAGGGTTGATGTTGTAATTGAATCCTGGGTCACTCGCTGCAGATGGTTTATAAATATCTGTGCCTAAAGTAACTGCTCTTTAGTAGCTGACTTCCTGTATCCCTGAGTTCAGCATTAAATAAACATTTACATACTGACTCTTAATACTTCAAGTCTACATCAACTGAGAAAGTTAAAATTCATATCCCTCGCAGGCAGAAAAAGTTAAAACGGCACATATTTAATTTTACTCATTCGTTAAGTCTTCTTGCATGATTAATTACTAGTTTTGTTTTGTCCTCAGATATTCTAGCACATTAGTGTAGCAACTTGGAACAGTTGATGTATCAACTTGAATTCCTTAGGAGATTAAAAAAAAAAAAAGTCTGCATTGACTTAAAAAAAATTTTTTTTCGTACCGGGGATCGAACTCAGGACCTTTTACTTTTGAGGCAGGTGCTGGAACCACTGAGCACCCAGCCCGCTGCATTGACTTTTTTAAAGTTTTGAGACGGTCTTGCTAAGTTATTAAATTGCTCAGTGTGGGCTTTAACCTGAGATTCTCCTGCCTCAGCCTTCCAGAGTACTGGGATTACAGGCATGCCCCACCATGCCTGGTTGGATTGACATATTTTATGGAAGGTTAGGTGTTTTGTATTTATGAAGAAATTAAAATATGCTGGTGATAAGCAGACTTGTTGGGTAGACTATATGTAATCTTTTTTTTTTTTCGACTATATGTAATCTCAATCTGTAGGTTCTCATAGCCATCTGTCTCCATATGCAAGTTTTTTCAACATCCGCTTTTTGAACCCAACAAAATGTACCTGCTTTCCTTTCTCCCTAGTAAAACTGCACAAAGTAACTAAATGAAGTACTGATGGAGTATCAGGCTGGGAATAGAAACACCTTTAATTATATGTTTGTCCATTTGTGTAATTTGTTGTATTTTTGTTTTCAGTTTTTCTTTCAAAATTGTGGATGAAAAGTAGTAAACATTTATTAAAATAAACTTCACAAAATTTAAAATGCAGCAGATTTGTAATTGAGCCAGAACTAAAGCTTGTTTCCCCAGGTTAACATTGTATTCCACTGACTATACTTTTTGAATCAGTTGTTCTGTGCGTGCTCATCTACTTTTTTTTTTTCTTCTTTCTGTACTGGGGATCGAACTCATGACCTTGCACTTGCTAAATCCTTGGCCCTTCTGCTTCTTGGTCTTACACATCATTTTTGTTTTTGTCGTACTGGGGAATGAACCCAGAGCTTGTACTGAGCTGCATCCACAACCCTTTATTTTCAATTTGCCCAGGCTAGGCTCAGGCTTACCATCCTCCTGCCTTACCCTCTAAGGGTGCTGGAATTACAGCACATAGCCTCATGCCTGGCTCATTTATGCTTGTTTTAATAGTAAAAACTTTGTCCCCACTGTCCTTTGATTTTTTGTTTTCCTTTGATATTCTTGGATGCCAGGGATCATACTTTGTTTTTATTGGAGTATAGGGAAAATAAATTGAGAATGAAATGATAAGGTAACTTACTAAAAGTTACTTACTTAAAAGTATGAAGAAGAAGGCCGGGGATTTAACTCAGTGGTTCTGCTGCCTGCCTCAAAAGCGCAAGGTCCCAAGTTCGATCCCTGGTACCAAAAAAAAAAAAGTATGAAGAAGATTGTAAGAATGTTTGCCTATCCCATGCCTGCCTCTGAAGCACAAGGTCCTAAGTTTGATCCCCAGTACTGGGGGTGGGGGAATGTTTGCCTACATAATGCTGCTTATTTAAGAATAGTTATAAAAGTTATCCTTAACCCATTCAATCTACATAAGAAAATTTACATAATGCAAATTATCCTTAAGATGTATTAAAAAAGGAAAAAAAGATGCCCTCAAATTTTCAGAGCTTTAGGATTTTTGTCGTTAAAGGATATTGAGAAATGAGGGCACCCACCTGAGGCTTCTCTGAGTAGCTTGTGGAGTTCCTTGGCAGAGGCCAGCTGTGGATAAGGCCCTAGGGAAAAGTCTTATGGCAGAACTTTGCACCGTGGTTTTTTGTTTTTGTTTTTTAGGTTTTTTGAGACAGGGTCTTGCTCTAATTCAGGCTGGCCTTGAACTCACTGTGTATCCCAGGCTGTCCTCAAACTTGCAGCAGTCCTCCTGCCTCAGCCTCTTAAATGCTGAGATTACAGACATTCACCACTATACCAGGCTGTACAGTGGTTCTTCTCCCAGAATGTCACCCCTGGAGACTGTTTGAAAGATGCTGCTGGCATATGGTTGCTCCACATCATCTATTTTATAAGTTCCATCTCTTTTTTTTTTTTTTTTTTTGGTACTGGGGATCAAACTCAGGTCCTTGCGCTTGGGCAGCAGGCGGTGAAACCACTGAGCTAAATCCCCAGCCCTATAAGTTCCATCTCATTTTTAAAATCAGAAGCATAGCTAGATCATCTGTCTACCTTATTTGCTTGACTTGGCTCCAGATGACTTTGAGGCTGTTTTGCAGAAAATTAAATCCTTTATGCCATGCATTGTGGTACTTGCCTATAATCCTAGCCTCTGAGGCTGAGGCAGGAGGATTGCAAGTTCAGGGCCATCCTGGGCTATGTAGTGAGACCCTGTCATGAAAACAGCCCTCAAAATTAGATCCCTCTGAGCTGGATGTGTTGGCATACACCTATAATCCCAGCATTCTAGAAGAAGAGCCTGGAGGGTCCCCATGAGTTTGAGGACAGTCTGGGCTACATAGGAAGTTCAAGGCAGCCTGAACTGTGTAGTAGACCTTCTCTCAATAAACGACAACAAAAATTAGATCCTTCTTCATTACTTTTTTTTGGTACCAGGGATCAAACTCCAGACCTTGCAGTTACGAGGCAGGTGGCAGCACTACTGAGCTAGATCCGCAGCCCTTGGTTTGGGGTCCCCCTCCTTGGTTTAGTTTTTGAGATAGGATCTCACTATGTAGCCTAGGCTGGCCTCAAACTTGTGTCTATCCTTCTGCCTCAGCCTCCTGAGTGCTGGGATTACAGGCGTGTGCTACCACATCCAGCTAGATCTTTTTTTCAAACAACTACAATTTGTTATAATTTAAAATTTGGGGTAAGGTGTGGTGATTCATGCCTGTAATCCTAGCACTCTATTGCAAATTCAAACCCAGCTTTTTTTTGGCAGTTCAGCAAGAGAGACCCTGTCTCAAAAAAGGTTGGGTGACTGGGGTTGTAGTTCCATGTAAAGGCCCTGGATTTGATCTCCAGTACTACAAACAACAAAACACTTTGAAAAGAATATAGGTTTAGAAAAAATAATATATAACTTTGAAGGCCTTACTTCTCAGTTGGATATATAGAGTTGATGATACCACATTTGTTTTTTAGAACACCTTCAAACTTTTCTACTCCCTATCTTATCTGCCTTGTCATCTGTGTGTATTTTCTCAGTGATTCAGTATTTGAGTGTAGATATGTGGCATTTCATAAAGTATAGATTGCTGCTGACATACATATATCCCAATGCCAGTGACCTGGTTTTTTTTTTGAAACTTGTTACTCACTTTAGATCACTCTTAGAATTTGTAGGTGTTTAAAATTCTGTTCTTTTTTTTTTTTTTGGTACCAGGGATCGAACTTGGGACCTTGCGCTTGAGAGGCAGGTGTCGGAACCACTGAGCTAAATCCCCGGCCCAAAATTCTGTTCTTTTGAATCATGCTTGTGATAATATAAGGGCTGTAATACCAAAGTGTATCTTGGAGTAAATGCATTAATCTACTTGTTAGAAATTACTCCCAGGGCCAAACTTCTCTTCAGCTTAGTTTTGTGGGCTAAGTGTGAGATAGATATCCTTTTAGTTGTACTTCTTATGCCAGTTCTTTGGAAATTCTTGTATTACTTGGGATTTTATTTTTTCTACTAGGGTAGTTCTACTCTACCATTGCTTAACGCTTGATTAGTTCATTTGGTAATTTAGGGAGGAATAATATCAGCTAAGGAAGGATTTCATTATTTGACAAAAAAAAAAAATTCATTGCTGTATTTCTAGGATTTTCAGAGGTCAGTAAAAGCTTCTTCCCTGTAGTTATCTTGTTAAACTGAAAAGCAGTCTTGTAAACTAACTTTATCACTAAGACCACTGTTTACTGAAGATTTAAAAAAATAAACTGTTAAAAGACTATCACTGCAGCTATAAGAATTTCTTTTTTTTTTTTCTTTTGAGTTGAGTTGAGGGGTCTGGCTATGTATTTCAGGCTGGTTTTAAACTGTTTACCCCAGACTGGCCTTGAACTCGTAGGGTCCTCCTTCCTTAGCCTTCTGAGTGCTGGGATTACAAGTGTGCACCACCACACCCAGTTAACAATTTTTGGGGCCAAGTGTGGCAGGAGGATCTCTGGATTGAGAGTTCATGGCCAGCCTGGATTACAAAGGGAGACTCTATCTCAAAAAAGGAAAAAAAAGTAAAAAGGGCTGGGGTTATAGGTCAGTGATAAAGCTTTTGCCTATCATGTTAAAGTCCCTGGGTTTGACTCCTAGTACTGCAAAAAAAAAGTTTTAATTTATTGATTGTTCAAATATATGTGCC